CTGTGTGTGTGTTTTGTGTGTGTGTGTGTGTGTGTATGTGTGTGTGTGTGTGTGTGTGTGTGTGTGTGTGTGTGTGTGTGTGTGTGTGTGTGTGTGTGTGTGTGTGTGTGTGTGTGTGTGTGTGTGTGTGTGTGTGTGTGTGTGTGTGTGTGTGTGTGTGTGTGTGTGTGTGTGTGTGTTGTATGTGTGTGTGTGTGTGTGTGTATGTGTGTGTGTGTGTGTGTGTATGTGTGTGTATGTGTGTGTGTGTGTGTGCAGAATGTATTAAAACGGTTATTGTTACTGGTCATCAGTAGTAGTGTGGTCCTATCATTCCAGGTGGTCGCCATGTCCCCGCTGGAGACTCGGACTGCACCCATCTGGTGATAGACCACAGTATCAGCAGTAAAAACGACATCCCGTTTGAGACGCACCACAAGCTGAACATGGTGACGGGAGAGGTAGGTGACAGGGAGGATAATTAGGTATAATAAGGGAAGCTGGGTGTCCAGTTTTTAGTTGTCAAAGTTCAGCAGTAATGGGATTTTCCTGAATATCCTTAGATTTCTGACTTTTTGGGAGACAAAAATATCTATTTTGAGATTGATGCAGTAGGTACCATGCCATATATTTCAAGTTTTCACTAAATGCCCTCTCATCTGTCGTCCAAAGGGTGAGTGCTATTTGATTCCCCTGTTTTCATGAAGAAATAGTTGACTTTATGTTAAACTAATTTTAAATAAGAAGAGTCCTACTGAGGCATCTGATTCTGTGTATTTCCAGTGGTTCTGGGCCAGTATACAGATGGAAGCCTGCGCTGAGGAATCCATGTACCAGTTTGAAAAGGTAATGTCAGACTGATTAACTTTTCTTAATTATCTAAAAAATTCAAATAAAATTTGCTTTGTGATTTTCAATTCCTCTTATTAAAGGATTGATAAATAACTTTAGTAAAATTTTTTGGCTTATAAAAGTTGTTGATATGTATTTAGCTGGTCTACCCTAATGAAGCACTTCAAGACTTGCTATATTGCATGATATATAAATGGATAGAGGGAGGGGAACGGGAGAGAGAGATGCAGAAAGATACTAAGTTACACATCAGTTCAAATTTTTACACAGATTGAGAAGACGCCTTCTTCGGCATTCAACACCCCTAGCTCCGGTTCACGTATGAGGAAACGAAAGCGTCTCAAGGACACCCTGACGCAGCTGGCCTCAGACGGGGAGCTGGACTCACCCATCATGTATCACAAACGACGTTCCAGCGAACACATGCTGTCGCTGAGTGCGTCTCTCATTGATGTTACGCCAGACGTAGGTGAGTGAGTGCAGGTGTGAAGTAGTGGTTTGATATGTGTGCAGTTCATTAGAGGTAAGTTGGGATACCTTGTCTTAGCAACAGAGGCTTAGCTTGATAGATGTGAGATTTCAACAGTTTGGTTGGAAAAAGATCTTTGATTCTTACTTCCTCTCTAACTGTTCATCTGTCTGCATGCTCTCATTCCTGTGTTTCTATATCTTTCCACCCTTGTAGCACCAAGACCAAGCTCTTCGAAGACCTCATTTTCTCCTAGGAGCCAGAATAGATCTGCTTTCTTCCCTTCTTCCTTCTCTCCCTGTCATAACAAACGCCTGAAAGTCTCTGGGTGTATGAACTCGCCAAGTAAGGCATCAGTTTCACACTTCAAGTTGGCCCAGGGTAAGTAGACCAACTCTAATTTGACCAGTGAGACATCTCACTAATCTATGAAAATAAAAGCATTTCTCTTTCTCTTGAAAGCAGTCAGTTGCCACTCTCTCAGAGCTGCACTTGCCTCGGAGCTCGTTCTCTGTACTTTGGAACTTTTCTCATTGATGATCAAAATGGTTGTTCCATATTTTAGCTCCTCTGCTATTTTCTTCTATTATCTTTAAAAAAAACTGCTTTCATTGCTTCACTCTCCAAGTCTTGCCTTCTGTCTGCTAGATTCTTCACCTTCACTAGACTTGCTGACATTCACTGGTCAGTCTCCATTGGCCACTCTCCTGAATGGGTCAGCTGTCCGACTTTCACAGGGACCCATCTTTAATAGTGTGCTGTCCCCCGTAGTGGACACCCACAGTCCAGTGAGCAGTGAACTGACCCCAGTGGCAGAACTGGAGCGGGCATTTTGTGAGGAGGGTAAGGGATTCACTGGAACGGGGGTTGGTTCCTTTGGGGTGTTCACATAGAGCGCATTCAGAACAGAGGACTAACAAAATATGGCGACCCACTAAAATGTTTGCTTGCTTGATTTTGGATTAGACACTGAATAGATTCCCCACTGGGATTACGCAATAAGTATTCAAGTGGGTCGGCCATATTTGATCCGCGGATCTGTTGGCTCACTGTTCTGAATACGCTCATAGGTAACTCTTTGCTGTCATATTTATTGATAATTGTTGTTATTTGTCTTGGACTGCTTTTTGTGTGCTTTACACAATTTTTTTTTGAATGATTTGGAAATGGAAATATCAGTATCATATATTTTTCTGTGTATTCAGCTGTCCTTCATTTCTCTCTCTCTCTCTTTATCTCTCTACTCTCTTCCTGTGTGTGTGTGTAGAGTCCATCATCTCCCCTTCCTCCCCCATCTCTCCACGCTGCAAGGAGCATTTGGCTAGGGAGCAGTCATTAGTTGACAAGAAGGTAACAGCTGCTACTCCAGGTAGGTAGAGGGAGCAGTCATGGTGTGTGTTAAATGTAGGAAGCTGTTGATATATTCTGCTCTCTGTGAAAAGGTGGCATTTTGATTTTTGTTTGAAAGTTAGCTTTGAACTTTTAATTGATACTTAAGTGAAAGAAATAGGAATAAAGTGTGATATTTTTTTCACAGATGTTGATATTGTACTGTTTGAGATGTGAAAGAATGAAAATTGCTGTCACTTTGTAGAACTTATAAGGATTTGGATTCCTCTCTATGTTAATCCTTTGTTACCCTATTTTTCAGCCACTCCCCTGGGTTTGGAGACTGCCACCCCCGGGGCCCCCACTGCCAATATCAGCAAGAGGAAGCAAGTGATTATGGAGCTTCTTCAGACAGAGAACAACTATGTTGCCATACTGGACACCGTGCTGACTGTGAGTAGTTTGCCATGGAATTCCGCGTTTTAAAATTCAGTTCTGATGGTTTCTGAGATTCGTCAAAATCTGCAATAAAATCCAGGGTTGGGGAGGGGAATGAATATTCAGGTTTTTTTTTTTTTTTTTTTAAACCTGGGGTCATGTCTGTTATATTGAATGGGAACATTTTACAATAATGGACATGGTATTTTTATGCAATATTTTTGTACTAGTGTGGAATAAGTGCTTACTTTTGTTAATTGTTCAGAGCAAGAAAGAGGTCCTGACTTTCTTTTAAACAACACCACTTTTTAATACAAAATTGTGGTCTTGTCTCTCAAGTTATCTATTTAAAAAAAAAAAAACTCAAAAACTATTTGTTTCAGATATTTAAAGAAAGGATTGAAAATTCAGAAAGAGGTCCTGACTTAATTCATGCATGGAAAAAACAATTACTTTCAGATCTTCAAAGAAGGAATAGAGAATCCTAACCAGCCGGGAGGACCCCTGCTGCCACCTACAGATGTGAAGCTCATCTTCGGCACCATCCCCTCCATATTTCAAATCCACAGTAAGATATGTGAGGAGCTGGCATCGCTGGTGGCAAACTGGAGAGAGGAGTGCAGTGTGGGCGACGTGATTGTCAGACATGTAAGTTGTGGCCAACAAAGTGTGACTCTTTATTTTTTTGGGATAATATTCTCATTTGATTGTTCGAGTGGGATGATTTTAAAGGGGAAGAGAGAGCATAAAATCTTTCTTTCTTTACAGACTAACTATATTTATGGCCAAATTTGGCATAGATCATAATTTACTTTGACTTTTTATTGTTGTTGCTATGATTTTACATCTGGTAAGTAATCAGGTTATCCTACTGTTTCACTAAATGGCAGACTAATCCTTGTAAATGTGATTTCATGCTGTATTCAACCCAACCAGTATTTCCTTGGTAAATAAGGCCAATTTTTCATCTGTCCTCTTTTCTTCTTACTTAGGCCAGTGAGCTAACGAAAGCCTATCCACCATTTGTCAACTTCTTCGAGCAAACCAAGGCAACTATTGAAGAATGTGACAGGACCAACACAAGATTCCATGCTTTTCTGATGGTAGGTTTCATTATTTTTAATATTATTTGTTTATTTACTTTATTTTATTTTAATTATATTTTTAGCAAGCAGCAATACTGATATTTGCTAAATCATGTTTACAGTTTAATGATGTTGTGAACATGAGCACCACCTAGCAGTTTCTTTGATTCTTTATATAGATATATTCATGGGTGAAAGTTATCTGGATTATTTGAGTTTTCATTTTGATCCGTCCCTGGTCCCAAGCTACATTTTCAGGATAATCAGTTGTAACAACCTGCTTGATCTATCAATAGATATAAAGATCTAGACATATAATTATCATTGACCAACCTGTGTGCTTGATTCCCCCAGGTCTGCAAAAACAAACCAGAGTGCTGCAGGCAGACGTTAAAGGAACTTCTGATCAGACCTGTTCAGAGGTTACCCAGTGTGGTTCTACTGTTGAATGGTAAGGCTAGAGCTTAGCCATGTTGGCAACATTGTTTGTACAGATAAATCTAGTAACATACCAATATTTCTTTGATCCATAAATACAGGGGCCAGTTTCAGGAAGTTGTCATTAGTTACAATTAGAAAAACTAACGACAGAACTATCTCTCTAACGAGAACATTTAGTAATTTTCAAATGGTGTTTCAGGAAGCTGTCGATAACCCATTTCTAAGTTCTGTCGTAAAGTTCACTCGGGCCCAAGGATAGAAACAGATAAATCTGAGCATCATCGGATGCGAGTGCTGTTAGTTCTAAAACAAATATGTAGATAAATTCAAATCCTGATATGGTCCACATACTGCTAGATGTGACATTGCAATTAACCCATAGCCATACATCTGCAAACCTACAAACCCAGAAACCTGTAAAACCTTTATGGACTTTTTAAGAGAGATAAGAAGAGCATACTTTGTTCATTTCAAGTTTCTACTTTTTATTACAGATATAAAGAAGCATACCAACAAGAACTTCAGCGACTACGCAGCTCTTGAAAAAGCTGTTAATGCTCTTAATGAAGTTTTAAAGTAAGTTTTTTTACATGTGACCAAGAATATTGTAGTAGGTTAATTAAGCCAGAGCCAATTCAGTCTCTGTTATTAAGAAATATTTGTAGGTTATACTTGCTTATTTTACTTTCTTTAAGTGAAAGTAAATCAAAACATGTTTATGACATTCAGATTGAGAATAAATTTGATCAGCGCAGTCCGTGAAATGCATGTTTGTTATACACAATATTTTATTTTGGAATATATTTATTTATTTTTTCTTTCCCCCAGACATATCAATGAAGATAAAAGAAAAACAGAAGGTCAGGTTGCCATGTTTGAAGTAGTCAATGATATAGAAAACTGTCCGGTAAGTGATTTTAAATTTCATTAAATTATCAGGAAATCGCAATAACAAATGCTGTGTGATAAATGTCTTCCCACTGTCATCATTGATTGGTGTCTTAAGTCTAACTTTTTTGGAGTTTTTTATTTAGAAGTAAGTAGAAGGATTTTCCTCCAGACATGGTATTTTGATATTGAAATACATGGACAATTATTTGCTACGTAAGATGAATGTATGATTTTTGTGAGTAGTGTCAAAAAGTTGATTTGAATTTTTATATAATTCAGATATTGCATTTTATTAATTTCCTTCCATCCAACATTCCACCTCACAGGAGTAGCAGTACCTTTTATTGTTTTACAGGATCAGAACCAGAACCTCCTTAAATTTTAACGCATTTATTAATTTATATAGTTTTCGTCCATTAATCCTGCCTTCGTCTTACAATATTACATGATGAGAACCAATTTAATGTTTTTATTTATTTATTTATTTATTTATTTATTTATTTATTTATTTATTTATTTATTTATTTATTTATTTATTTTCCCTCCAGCCAAACCTACTGTCATCCCACAGGAGTTACATCACTAAGGTGGATGTGATAGACCTGTCCACAGAGCTGAGAGGCAAGGGAGACGCTCTCACGCTGTATCTCTTCTCTGACAGTCTAGAGGTGAGGCTTAATTTGTAGTCATCTTCAAAATGATTTGAGGATAAAGACAGAGGGGTGCCAGGAACTGACCAAGATGTACCAACTTGTTGCACATCAATAAATAGCTTATTTCAACAGCTATTCATTTCTTATCATTATTTTATTACATAAGGGTTACATAAGTAAATATAAAGGTGTGAGTATGGCACCAAAAATGATTTAATTTATCACCTCCTGACAAACTTTGATTTGCACCTTTATAGTCACGTTAGTCTGTGTATAGAGACTGCAGTCCTTCCTCATGTCTAAAGAGAATTATCTTTCATTTTCCCCCAATTTCATTCTAGTTTTTATGTATTTCATGTTCAGATATGCAGAAGGCGGAGAGCTGGTAACTTCAAGAGTCCCGCGCCTTCCAAGACACCACAGAAACCGTACAAGCACATTGAGATGCTGCCATTGGCCTCCGTGAAACGCGTGGCTGACATCACAGATGGAGAAGGTGAGTGAGCGGCCCGTTTTGTCCTTCAGTCTTTCATTCATCTTTCAAAGTGCAGTTAACCCATTTCTGCTGGACATGGGTTTGTGCCAGTTTCTGTGAGAGGTGAATAAGTGGTTTGTCCTTTAATCAGAGCATTAGTCAGGCAACCTTTTTACTGTTTTTTGGACTTCCTGTTTAAATTTTTGGATGGTCACTTAAAATGTTAATTATTGGAGCATATGGAGCCTAGACAACCTATTTCAGTAAAAGAATGAATTTACACTCCCTGTTTCAAAATCCTGGCTAAAGACTGCCTTCAATTTAAAAGGATCGATTTCAAAAGTTTATTTCTTTCCCATTCCTAAAGTTCTGATTAGAAAAATCAAAAAAGCAGTTTGCTTTTGAATCAGACTTAGGATTATAACTAAATAAAAACGCCTTTGAAATTATTGAAATGGTTAGGTAAGTTATTTGGTAGTACTACCAGATATCCTAAGCCTTTTTTGCCCTTTTTCTTTTTCCAGACTGCAAGAACGTCTTCTCTCTGATCTGTCGCAGCAGCCTAGACGCCCGCGAGAAGTTGTACAGTTTTTCCCTGTGCACAGATGGTGTCAGCAAAGAGGAGTTCTTACAGACCCTTTGTAAGGGTATAGCTAGCACCACCTGTAAGACAGACTGGGTAAGTAGAGAGAGAGTAGTATATTTACAAACCCTGTGTAAGAATATAGTTAGCACCACCTGTAAGACAGACTGGGTAAGTAGAGAGAGAGTAGTATATTCACACACATGGGGGATGTTTTGGAGGTGCTGAAGGTGCGGAAGACCTGCTCTGCAAGAAATCTCCAGTGCCTCCCAATTCAGTGCAGGTCTGTTAGTCATGTATTGTACTTCTGCACCACCCGCTAACGTTCAGAGGATCTACCTTATCAAAAATCTTGCTGATCCTTTGGTTTTTCAGAGGACTGAATGAAAGAAGTTGGCATATAATAGTAGAAAATGGAAAGCTAAGTTACTGTACTATTATATATATACCTATTATTCAGAATTTAGCCGTTCTATGTTAAGAGGTATTTTAATTGCTCTGTATTGTTTTTTCATTGCAGGAGAGTCTGTTAGTATCTCTGGATGCCAAAATGCTGGACATTGCTGCCTCAGACCCTGGCAAGCAGGTCCTGAAGAGGTCAGTGCTCATTTTCTCTTTTGCCCTTTATTGTAAATTTTCAAAAAAAGAGTTACTTGGACAGCACTGATGTGTGCATGGTAATTTTTTTTCTTTTTGAATGTATGTGTAAGGAATTGTATAATAAACCAAAAAGGTCTTATTACTCATTGGCAGTTTTTTCTCTTTATTGTAAATTTTTATTAAGTAAGAGTTACTCTGACAGCACTGATTTGTACATGGTCCCCCCCTCCCCAAATATTTAACGTATAAATATGATAGTAAGAAACAACTAATTAGTAACTGTATAATTTGTCATCATGTGAGAGTAGGGATTTTAAAAGAAAAAGATGAATTATGTTAATTTTTATCACTGCAGGTTTGGGAAGAGAGTCAGCAGAGCATTTTCCTTCAACAAGACCCCTCGCAAGCTGAAACGCGCACTCTCCAGCATGAGTCCCTTCGTGAAGGAGAACCACCACGCCCAGGACAAGGATGGACGCATGCCGTGTACGCCCAGACAGGAACTGGGAATGAGGCTGGCGACCTCTGACCTCAATGTAGGTATTTCCGCTGGCGTTCTGGTGTTCGGTGGTTGTTGTTGTGTTCTGGAGTTTGGATCCTGGGCTTTTAGTAGTCTGAGCTGAATGCTTGAGATGCTTGGGCCATCCTAGCCTCTGTGTTAGATAATTCTGATGAGAAGAGTTTTGATATGAAATACGTAAAAAAGATGATAGAATGTCCTAATTTTTTAGCATTTTGTAACAAAAAAATGAAAAGAGCTTTGAAGAAACTTCTTGCTGTTTGTGATGATTATTGCTGAAATTGGAATATTATGTTATTTGGCTTATTTATTTATTTATTTTTAATATATTTTTTCATTATCCAAAAGGGGGGATAAAATATAAATATTAAATATTTTATTTAATCTTAATTTATGACCCCATTTATTTTTCTTTTTGAGAGATATTTATATTTTTGCGTTAGAATGCTCAGTCATCCCAACTGGTATAATTTGATAAATGTCAGATATGACGCATTTCTAGTGCTAGAATGCTTTATGAATCCATGTGTAAAAGTGTGGTTTAATTTCTAGTCATCCAGAAAGTTTGGCTCTGCGTGGGTAAGACATTTAGACTGTAGATGGCACCACTAGCCGCCCAGTGCAGTGTTGTTTCTAATAAGCAGAGTTCAGACAAGAACTGGCTTGGATCGGAAAATTGCCCAAGTCAACAGGCAACTAATCAACCAGATTGCTCTCCTGTGGCCTGGTGACTTGAGTTTGGCATTTTTTTCCCCTCCAAGTCTGCAATATTTCTGTCTGAACAGACTTTTCGTTTGCTGCTTGTGTGTTTGATGTGCTACACATGCTGGTGCTTCACTCGTGGGGGCTGCACGTGTTCGTGGCGTGTGTTGCGGAAAGGGATTTCTCTGCATTTACAGCTGTCTTCCGAAAATACCCAGATACGCATATTTTATTATTATTATTTGCATAAATTAGTAACTCTTGTATTATAGTCCTTATAGTTTTTTTCTCTCATAATTTAGATTTCTGTCATTCATTATGCATTTTTATTGGACATTGGTTATCCATTAGATCTGCTTTACATTTTTGCTTATTTATTATTTTTTTCAAGGACTTTTTGACTCCCAATGTTTTGCCTCTAAACATGGCCAACAAAAAGAAGATAAAAAGCAAATATAATTCCGCTTCTTCCATCAGCGGATATTTGTACCAAACGCTTCGCCGTGCGCACTCCACGTTGTCTGTGGACGTAAGTGCTATATGTTCCTGCGTTAGCATGGTGCGGGGCTTCTGTTACTAGGGGCATGCACTGTCGCAAAGGTTGACTGTCACGTATGCATGTGCTTGATATGTATATATGTTATAAATAGGTTCTATTATTTCATACTGTTTTAGTGTAGAGAGGATAGATATTTCTTACTAAAATGGAAGATTTTCTGTGTTTACTTTTTCCCCTTCTTCATTTTGTCTCTACTTCACAGTTGCTTGTGAGGCAAATTTTATAAATGTTTTGGACTGTGGACAAAATTTTGGGATACTTTTTGAAACTTGAAAGTAAAAGTACCTGAATTTGAATGAATAATGATTTATTGAGCACTAGGTCATTTGATTAGAAATGATGTAAAGCATTGAATTCAAGTTTAAGGGCAGGTAGAGCAGTGATACCTGAGTACGAGGAACTACTTTTATCTCCAGGAAGTTTTTTGTGCAAAAATCATAAACTGGATACCTTTAGCCATTATCCTTGTGCCAAAATTTCAAAACTTATGTAGTAAAATTTAGAGACAACTTTCAGGAAACGTACTGATTGAAGCAAAATTAGTGGTGAGTTAGAAATACTTGCTGGGCCCATTTGAGCTGATCAGTGCACAAATTTCACTGTGAAATTGCCAGTTCATCTTCTCTACGCCTGAACCAGGCATGCTTCAACATTTTTTGTATTCAAGATGTGTTCAAGATGTTTGCTACTTCTGCTGAGATTATTCTTGCTATCAAAATTTTGGCATATGCTGTCCCAGATGTGGCAGCTCTTGTCCCAGTTTTGGCAGCTTTTATTCCATTTTTGGCAGCTGCTGTCCTGGCTACTTTTGGGACTCTGATTCGTCCCACTGCTTTATATTGAACCATTTTTGATTGAAGGACAAACCGAGTGTGAAAGGAATGTTTAGATTAAAAATAAAAATTCATGATATTAATTATTTACATTTCAGCTTGCTTCACCTGCTGAGTTACTTAACGATTTGTCTGAGGTGCGTTTGTCCACGATACTAACGGCACCTCTGTATATACAGACACACATTAATGAGGAATGGTCCATTAAGAAAGTAAAGGAAAAAAAAAATTAAAAGATAAATTTTGAAATATGTCTTGGTGCAGTTTAGAATACATGGTAGCGGTGGAGGAGGGGGGGGGGGGAGTCGATCTTGATGATATAAAATAGAAAATATCTACGCTATGCATAAGATCGTACACAGTCCAGAATTAATTTTCTTGGGCCACGCCACAGTGGTTTTATGTTTATATTCTTGATGGATCAATCTTTTTATGTAAATTTTCAACAGTTGCAGACAAACCTTCTAATTAGGTGTGCACATTCAAATTATTGAATGCATGATCAAGAAAAAAAAACTCTTGCAAGATCAATCACTCATTTCTGTAATTCCTTTCTGCAAGAAGCTCCGTTTAAAATGCATCTTGATTTGGGGAAATAAATAAAATATGGAATATGGGTACCCTCTGTCACAAATAATATCATGATTAAGACTCTGATATTGTGTTGGCTGTAACTTAAGTGTTGATGTTAACAGTTATGCTTTACGCTTGAAGACAATGTCACTGAGTGCGCCTGCCTTTTTCTAGCTTGCGTATTGGGTACTATTATAGGACTTTCTCACTGCAGAACTTAATTGGGGTTTGAAAAAAGACTTAGTGATATCACCACAGGCCCTGTTTTAAAGAAATGGATCCAGTTTTATATGGGTGTTTACAACAGTGGATGTGTATTTTGGTATTTAAAATTTAAAGGACTTGGACTGACTCTCTCTCTCTCACTCTCAAGCAAATAATAATTATCTGGACTAAGTTTTATTGGCAGTGGTGGGCCCGTTGTTCCAAAGAAAGAGCACCAATCAACTAGACTTAGTGGACTCTGACTTCTAAAAATTCAAGTTTTTTTTAAATTAAACTGTTTCAACATAGCTAAAACATGGAGAGCAAATAAAAATCGTTAATATTAATCCCATGTTTAGCAATTTGGTCTGCTGGTGATGTCACTTGGTCTATTACAGTAAGGGAATTGACTCGGTTTGTCTGTATGATACTAATGTGGTACCTGTATCACAAAACTAATCATAATCACTAAGAATGTTAGATCTGTGCTTGCCTTGGAAGCAGCTAGACTAATGACAATACAAGTGATATGGGATGATGATTTATTAATATGTATGGACAGCTAACAAATATATAACTGATTCAGAGGTATTTTACTTTTTGTTTGATGAATAATCGGTTTTCTTGGAGAATTCATTTGTAAATCTTCTAAAGAAAATTTGTTGATTTTTTTCATAAGGGTCATGAGCTTCACTTGTAAATGTATGTTGATGGATTTTGTGAATGTACGGCTGTACATGTGTTTAAAAGTATTTTTCACATTTGTTTTAAGAACAAGGAATTGGGTACTAGTAGAGACATGTATTTATGAATAGTTCCCGAGATGATTGTTTCTACTTTGCAAGGCACACAGTTGCCTTTGACTTTAATTTCTTTGTTAATTTGAAAAGCTGTAATAATTCTTTAGTCTCAGACAGATTCACAAGATAAACATATATTAGATGTTAAAAAAAATCTTTCTATTATTTTCCAGGACATTGCGGACTCTCCCCTCCAGTCGTATCCCAGCACCCCCTCTCTAGTACACAAATTCAACACCATAGGACCTGCCGATTCTAGGAAACTGGGACTATAACAAAGAAAATTGAAATACAGTGATAATTAATATATATATATGTATGTAACATATCTGTATCAAATTCTGTATAAAAGGACCACAGTTTTTCCAGTGGCAAGATTGGCAGAGTTAAGGAAACTGGGACCACAAAAGGATATATTTTGAGTATGTGTAACACAATATAAAGTGACCAAAGCAAAATGAACATTAGGATTCAAGGAGGCCAGATAATTTGGACTAGTATATTTATTTATTTATTTATTTATTTATTTATTTATACAGGGATGTGATTTTTTTCAACTAACAACCCACGCCAAATTTTAAGACTTTTTTCACTAAATGTCCGTCTCGTCCCTGTTTATTGCATAATAATATGTGGCACATCATAAATCTGTCTATGGAAGTGATTATGCTCGGGACATTAGCCTAGAACAACTAGATCAACAACAAGTTCTGCAGAGGGTGAGGACGCTGGGACAATGGAACCGCGTCCTGAGAGAGAAAATACCTCTCGGAGTACATGGACATAGAAATAGACTGAAGTATGGGACTGTACTCACATGAGCTTTTCCTTTTCTTTTTTTCTGCAAAATCACAGAATTATGAGATTCCCATTCTGAGCGAACCCAAGGTGGATCCAGAACCCTTGTTTTAATGGTTTGTCCTATGATAAATGTTCCACATTTTAAAAATATTTATTTATTTATTTATAACCCATGCTCATGTCTGAGTGTATTGTCAATGCTATAAGGGCAGGCAGTGTACCCATAGCATGGAAATGCAATTACTGTCATTTGTACAGTAAACTGATGGTAGGGCAGTGTAATAGTTGTTACTGTGTACTATAGTTATGGTATAACATGTAATTACTGTTACTGTTATCTGCAGTAATGGTATTGTAGTTGCTGTTACTGTTTCATGTAGTGACAGTACTGTTTTGGGTACTGCTATGTCAGAATTGCTACTGTATGTAAAAATTAACATCATGTAAGTTATACTGGTATTTTGAAAGTTATCCCATCTTTGTCACTTAAAATATGTCTGTTACTGCAGTAATTATGAAAATAAGGATTAAGAAAACAGCATAGATAGAGGAGATGTGCAAAGTGTCTTAATGACAGTTTAGATTTCTCTCCACCTTGTGAGCATGTGAAGACAGATGTGTGAAATCAGTTTTTTTATCTGCCAATGGTCAAATTTTAATTTCTATGTTTGATGTGCACCCCTCAAAAAGTATTGAAAATGGCAGGGCTTGGTACAAAAAATTTGAAGATTTAAATCCAAGTTTGCATTTATTCAGATTATTACATTAATCCAACAGATGTTTAATTGATTTTTCAACTAAATGATTAATTATGAAAACAAGGGGAAATGTGAAATCCTGATTGTTGTTTAACTTCTTTGTGGAGAAGTTATATTAGTAATGTAAAATTTTCTCTAGGTTATATGATTGTAACTTAATAATATGTGAAGTTGATTTAGAACTAAAATTTAAATTATTATATCTGTATGATTGATGTTCTGCCATGGTTGAGTCTCGGGAGAGGAGAAATCAGTCCTTGGACAAAGTAATAAAAATAATAATAATGTGTAGTAATATTCGAAATTATTTTCACCAACAAGTTTTTCTTTTAACGTAAAGATACAACAGACCTCTGCTGCAAATATTAAGAATGTTTTCAATCTTTTGTGATGCCGTTTCTATGGTTTGAGCCAAAAACGACTTGAAATGCCACAAATTGGGGTTTTTTGTCATTGTAAATGTTCAGTGATTTTAGAAATATGCTGATACTAATTATTTAATACATTCAGATGTTTGTAACTTGATTTCTTTTGCACAGGAGGAAGATAACACTTAGTGTCAAGAGTAAGAAAAAAATGTGAAATAAACTTGGCATGTTGATGAAGATATGGCTGATAATAAGGAGCTACATTTAGTGCTCATCATCATAATGTTGTTTTCTTGATTTCTCCTTTTCTTTCTCTGGGGGAGTTATTCTTGTTTATCAGTATCAACCATAAAGAAAAACCTACTTTTTAGCTTTAAAATGCTCTCTTTTATTGAACTAAGGGAAGCGAAGTTCTTGTAAATAAAATAAGTAGAGCCACATGTCAACTGTTAGAAGAATCGTCCAGTATAACGAACGCATGCACTAGATAGATTCGCCTTATTCATCAAGGGGCACTTGTCTAATAACCAGGGTGTTTGGGTTCCTAAGTTGGAGTTGATACTGGACACGATTTAGATAATAATGAGGTTGATGTGAAAGACGGGGAGTTAACAATTCAAATGAAACGACAATACAGATAAATCGTTCAAAATGACAAAATCTGCCTTATCTCAGAGCAGCCAACGTTGGCGTGACAAATCGCTATTTTGACACCCTATGAAAATATTTCAATCTTGTATCGGTAAAACCCAGCATTGCCCAGGCCGAGAGCAAGTGTACGAAAGGAGTATAAGAGTGCATTCCCAGAGATTTAGATCGATCCATCTGGATCGACCTAAACTCCCTGGGGGTTACGCTAAATTGCTGTCAGCCGAACACGCACGACAGTAAGTTACCCCTTTACAGCTTTTAGTAGGCGGGACAGACATTTAAGCCGGTTAAGCTTACACCAATCTAGTGAGACTACCCAGGTGGTTAGATCGATCTAAATATCTATGGGAATGGGGTCTAAGAGCAAAACCTCTTTATATGGAACGTGTGTTGGCAGCTGACGGTGAAAAATAATGATCACATAAAAAAAAGAAAAAAGATAACAGATCTTAACCTAAAACTTAATTCCATGTGTCGCGGTGCGTATGTAACTATGAAAGAGACGTTATTTATTATTTGAAATAATAAATAGATCGATAAAGTCGCTGGTTTCAGTCTAGATCGATTCCTGTTTATTCGAGATTTGATCAAAGACCACTCAATATTATGTATTTTATACGCAGTGTTTTGAGCTTGTCACTATGAAGTGTAATTACATCATTTATTGAGTTGGCCTAGCTTTCGGACTTGTGGCTCTGTTACACCTAGTTTAAAAGAAGTACACATGAGTAATAGCAATGTGAAATCGATTTAACGTACAACTTCATGCGTTTAAAATCACCTTTTATGTACCGTATCGATATGAATATATAAGCAGCGTATGGATTTTTTTTTTGACATGTTCAAGACAATTTACCGCCACGTGTGCATACGTACATATCGACATACGCCTGCGTACTGTGTACTCGAGACCTTTTAAGTTTTAATGCGTTTGGGGATTTTTTTCATAACTTAGCATGCTATAGTGTAAAAGCACCCTTAAATAGCAGACCCTGGCAAAGTTTCCGATCTCGAGAATTTGTTTTTTCCTTTGGCTAGAAACGAGGCAGTTAAAGATGTACCATTTAATATTATACTGTACATCTTTTTGGAAGCAGGTGCATAACACATCTTTCTGTCAAATCTTGGTCATAAGAAGATAAGCCCATGGGACAATATAAAATGAGCCATTTAATCATCGTGCATTCTAAAGAGGACCCGAGAATATTCTGATGATATCATTTTTAAATCTGAACAAGATCAATTTTTTGAGCGAAAAAAAAAAAGCTTAGAATGGCTTCACTTTAGCACCCTGAGCAAAAATGAAATAAAATGAAAATGTAAAAAAGGCACCCCTAATATTGCATGTTTTCTAATCATGGGAGAGTGCCTTACTTCTAAATTTGGGACACACATTATGACCACTATTTTGTTAGTGAATAAATAAACATGTGTTTTGATAGAGTTTTTAAAAAATAAATTTACTAGGCTCACTGAACTAATGTGCACAATGTCATGAAAAATGCTTTTTAATTGATTAAGAGATATAATAATGGATTTGAGAATGTTACAAGATTTGCATTTTTTTTTCTAGATTGCAGTTATGACAAGCCAAGCTCTGGCTCCTTATCCCGATTTTTGGGTACGTAAGATGCGTTCTTTTTTCATCCTCTTCGACCTCGATGGCGATGGCATCATCTATAAATCAGACTTCGTTGACACCATTTTAGACAGAGCCAAAAAATGGATGAGCGAAGAACAGATCAGGGTCTTTTCTGATCTCCTAAATGAAGGATGGGACACGTTCATGAAAAGCGAAACACCAAAAGACACCCGGACATTCGAGGATATTCTACATGCGCATGCGCGGTATTTCATGGATTTTGACGCCAACATGGAGAAGCATGCTCGCGATTGGTTTGGGACTTATTTTGATGGCGTTGCAGACGCAAATGGAGACGGATATGTCACCCTTAAGGAGTTTACCCATTTTAAACCAGTTTTGGCGTTCATCCTTTTCAGTGACTCCGTCTTTCCAGGCCATTGATGTTGACGACAATGGGCTTATTTCCCGAGAGGAATTCATTTTAACAGGCACCCAGTTTTTTGGCGTCATGGTGGACACTTCTACCAAATTATTCTGGGGGCCTTTCACGGCTTGAACGCCCTTTTTATGTTTTATTTTGTGGCATGACTATTTCCCTTGAGGGTATGAATACATGGCATGTCAAAATACCAGTGGAATTTAAGTGGATTCGTTCTTCCTGATTTGTAGCATTTTATCAGATAACTAGAAAAGCACTCCGAGAGCGCAGACCTCCGCCAAGGCAGCAAAGTCTCCACCCAATGCCGTTTCACCCATAAATTTTCATTCTATAATGATTTAGTCTTTTGATTTTTGATTATTGATTATTGATCGATTATTGGTCCGGATCACCACCAAAAACTAATCATCTGTTCCTTGGCCCACTTCTGACAGTTCCTAAAAATTTCATTAAAATCAGTCCATAACTTTTTGAGTTATGTTGATGACAGACAGAAAGAAAGACAGAAAGACAAACAAACAGGGGTGAAAACAACCTCCTTGGAGGAGGTAATAAATGTAATCTTTTTCTAGTATTTCATAGAAACACCGTTGTTTTTTCTATGCTTAGCGTTACATATTATCTTTAAAGAATCCTTACATTTTGATATATGGGATCCAATATTGAAAATATATCACAGCATGATAAACATATTTCGTGTTTTAGAAATAAAAAGACAAATAAATACATTTGTCATCCTATAATAAATAAATGAATGATGTTACAACGGGGCCTATAATTATGGATAAAATTACGAATCTTAGCCCTTGTATTTCTACCTTTAGGCCTACCTAGATAATATCAATAACATTTGCTGCAAATGCAATGCTCCCTTTACCTTTAATTTTCTAAATAAATGTGCTCGAGAAAAGTATATGTTACTGTTTGTTCTCATATTTATAATCACCTGATAACAGAAGGTTGGCATGTTTGTTAGAGCGCATTCTCAACGAATTAAGCCAGGCTTTAGGTCACCGACTTTGTAAAGCCTGGCTTAATTCGTTGAGAATGCGCTCTTAGTCCCCTATTCTGAATGGGGTCATAGTTTTGCCGTGGGACGTTTTACCTACGTCAGTAACTAAAGGGGTGGCAAGTTTATAGTTTATTAAATTGGCTGTCCCTCTTTAATTTTGCAACAAGCTGTATAGGAACTCCCTATAATATCAGAGGTTCCTGTTGGTATTTTCGTTTCCCACTTTTTATTTCCGTAGATGCGAAAAGCGTGATTATTATGCGTGATCCGTGAGGCACCCCATTCTCAAGACTCGTGAATGCCGCTTTTTATTCTTTGCCCTTCAAGAAATAAAGTAATTATACCCAGTGATTATTATATAACTGAAAAATATAATTATTTGGAATTCATAAGCAGGATTTATTTGAAACATATGGTATTTATTAAAACAGTGTTTCTAAATAAGCATTCTTCAAGCAATATATATCGTAGTTGGACAAACAAAGTGCATGAAAATCAGCGTAACACAAGTTGCTATTACATTCAGTTACCTCGTCGGTAATTATTGTGAAGAACACAGCATAATTGGCCCTTTAAGCTATATCTGTTATCATTTTTCTACAACAATATCAATTCATGCTAGATTTCCTTGTTCCAGTAGGTCATAAGCCAAATGTGACTTAATCTCTTTTGACAACTGATAGAAGGGCAAACCTCTACTAGTATCTGGTACATCAGGCTATTATATATAATGTTATCTACCAACTACAACTAATTAAAAAAATTAAGAATTAAGAATCAGTGAATTTCTGTCAGTTTTCCTCTTCAGGTTCACCATGGGTGAAACGCGTGAAAACTGGGCCGATACAATGTTTACTGGGATATTGTCTGCATATAAATGATCTTTTCAGAGTTCATTGTTAGCTTGGCAATCACTCATAATTCAAAAAACTTAATCTCGCCTTTATCTTCCCCAACTACCAGTTTTCCGAGATGGTTTATAGTAACATCTCTCGGATAGCGTAGTCCATTGTCTTTGCTTAAAAGGTACTGCTTGAATTTCCCATCTGGTGACACCAGGTGTAGACGATGGTTGATAAAGTCTGTTAGAATTATGTCTCCATTATCCAAGCAGCATGTGCCGCGTGGACCGTTCACCTGTCCGTCCCCATCACCCTGGGTACCATATCTGTATTTAAGCTGGAGAGTGGAATCGTATACACGGATGTGATCATCTCCTGGATCTGAGACTATGAGGTCGTCATTCATGTTACAGTGGATGTGCTTGACACATTTACCCGCTGGGTCTGGTGTCGTCTGCAGGACCTTGCCATTCTTGTGGTGCACAGTCAGAGTATTACGACCGGCCACCACATAGTGACCCTTGCTGTTGACTGCTACTGCCTGAGGTGACTCACTGTGGAATGTTCTCACGTGGTCCCCTGTCTTGGTGTAGACAATTATTTCATTTGACCCCTGACATCTAGTGACGATGTTACCGTCATCATCAATGGCAATCCCACCAAACCCGTACTTTTCTGCTGCCCGTGGATTTGGAATTGTACCCTGTAGGACAAAGGTGTTATCGTAGATGTGGATGCTATTCCGTGAAAAGTCCTCATTNTCTTGTCCACTTATATTTCTCTTGGTGGCAGCTACACGTCTCCAGTCGTCATTAAGAAGTGCTGTCTCTCGTGACATGTACACCTGGTCAGGTGAGACGTTCAGTGTTCAAGGAGACTTCAAAGTCATCTTTATCAGGAATGTAGCGCTTTCTCTATGAAGCCTACGACACAGACGTGGTGACTTATTTTACTGCTGTTATCTGAATTGAGTTGTGTACATTGATAAAACTGATCTAGTGTAAGGGTTTATAAAATACCTTAATAGAGCGGTTGGATACAGATAAATGTACAGACTAACAGAGACAAGCACGGTCCTTTCAGCTTTATATTAAATTGAAGCTTAAGAAATTATATTTTGATGTTTGAGATGACGTAGAGATTTAACATTAATACTTTGACTTGCCAGTGGTAGAGTTAAGGCAGACAGAGAAACCCGGAAATGAACACATTGCTGGATAAATGTTTGAGTAATATTCTGAACACATAAGACTGGGTCTTATCCCTAACAGGATCGGTCCATCTCCATCGCTAAATTGCTTTCAGCTTAAGCTGTCTATATGTCTGGGACGCCTACTAAAGCTGCTAAACGATAGTTACCGGTAATTACACCCTATCAGCTTAAGTAGGCGTGGCAGACATTTAAGCCACTTAAGTAAATTCCAATTAAGTGAGAATCCCCTTGGAGACCCAAAGTTAGTACGATAGGGTCTTGGAACAGTAAAGAAACTCGCAGTGCCTCAACAATTAAGTCTCAACAACCACAATCTGCCCCACATTGTGAAGTGTCTTCCCTACCGCATTATACATGTATCTTAGGCTCCGTTCACATGAAAAATATATTTTCTAAAAATATTTTTTCTATTCGCGGTATCCTGTGATCACTCAGAGTGCAGCCGAGAATTAATTACAGCTTTGGAAGTAACTGGCTCGCACTGCCAGTAATAACGCCGCGGGGTATTCAGGGCACAGACTGTGATCAGAAGAAACCGAGAATAGAAAATAGATTTTTAGAAGATAGGTTTTCATGTGAACGGAGCCTTAGTGTACAGGTGATCGTGCCACACACGGTAACTCGTTTCTGATTGAGGTGAAAAAGACCCTTCAGCAAAAATGCTAAGTATCATCTCCAAATGGAGACTGTCAACATACCCTATTGCTCTTGAAATATCCTTGACCAGCTTCCAGAAGTCAGTTGAAGACAGTCTTGATCTACATTAGCATTAAAGGGATAACAACTCTTCCTATGATATTAATATTTCACAATACACACACTGTAAACAACTCATAGAAGAATAATAAATTATCTTTTACCACCAAAACGGCGGTTATCGCAATTATTTTGTAATCTGTGCTTGTCATTGTGACTTCCATGAATGGCTACCCTCTGTTATAATCTATTTAGGCATTATAAGTAAAATCAAAATCAAAATAGATAAATAAATAAATAATAAAAAAATGTATAAAGTTTGGATGTTTGAGTAGATTCATTAACCATTGATGAGTATTGAGAATTGCTGTCTACTCTACGAAAATATTTTTGGTAAAAAGAGCAATTGTTATCCCTTTAATTAAATACATGTACACTGACTCTTCAAAATCTGTTATACACTTGGCGTTTTGGGGAGGGGACAAGAGGTAGTAATACGTTATCAAGTTTTTAAACACTTTGTCATGGAGACATCACGCTCAGTGACGTAACAGACGATAAACACAATTAATATGTATTATTAGACGCCAGTGCACAATCTCTGTGTGTGCATTGTTCTGTTATCTCGCAGTGATCGTACGGCCAGACAAGAATTTGCCATGCGATGCGAGTTGTCACAATAATTCAAATATAGTTTTGCTTTGGGACGTTTATACCCACGTCATTAACTACAGGGGTGACAAGTTATAATCTGTTAAAATGGCTGACCCTTTTAACTTTTGCAACAGGCAATATGAGATGTCCCTGTGATATCAGAGAGCGTCCCATTGGGTATTTCCGTTTCCTACTTTTCCATTCCAGTGACTCGTGAATGGCGCCATCTATTCTTTGCCTTTCAAGAAACGAGGTCATTATACCCATTGATTATTATATAACTGAAAAAAGTTAAATATTTGAAATTCATCAACATGATTTTAATCTGATACATTATCATGTGGTATTAATTAAGACATTTTTTCTAAATAAGCATTCTTCAAGCAATATATATCGATGTTGGACAGACTTAAAGTGCATGAGATTCAGCGAAGCACAAGTTGTAACTACAATCAGTTGTAAATATTAAAATATTTGTAAAGGACACAGAATAATTCACCCTTTTTATTTTAAAATGTTATTTTACAACAAAAGCAATTCATGCTGGATATCCTTGTTCCAGTGGGTCGTAAGGCGAATGCGAAAAATCTCTTTGTCTAATCTGATTGAAAGAGAAAGGCTATTTTAATAATTAAAATGTGAATTACTCTTTGCAAAAGGTTTAAATATAAAGAATTAAGAATCACTGAAATTTAATCGGTTTTCATCTGAGTCAATCGAGGGCAAAACGCGTGAAAACTGGGTCGATACAATGGAAACTGTCTATATTTAAACGATATTTTCAGAATTCACTGTAAGCTAAGCAATCACTCATAATTCGAAAAATTTAATTTCGCCTCTCTGCTCTGCAACGACAAGTTTACCGAGATGGTTTATAGAAACATCTCTGGGATTAAAAAGTCCATTGTCTTCGCTTAAAAGAAACTGCTTAAATTTTCCATCCGGTGACACCAGGTGAAGACGATGATTCTTGCGGTCAGTTAGAATTATGTCTCCAAAATCCAAGCAGCATGTACCGAGTGGACCGTTCACCTGTCCGTTCCCATCACCCTTGGAGCCATATTTGTACTTAAACTGGAGAGAGGAATCGTATACACGGATGTGATCATCGCCTGGATCTGTGACGATGACGTCATCATTCACGTTACAATGGATGTATTTGACATATTTAGCCTCTGGGTCTGGTGTCGTCTGCAGGACCGTGCCATCCTTGTGGTACACAGTCAGAGTATTGTGACCGGCCACCACATAGTGACCCTTGCTGTTGACCGCTACTGCCTGAGGTGACTCACTGTGGAATGTTCTCACCTGGTCCCCTGTCTTGGTGTACACAATTATTTCATTTGACGTCTGACATCTAGTGACGATGTTACCGTCATCATCAACGGCAATCCCAGCAAAAGCTTTATTTTCTGCTGCCCATGGGTTTGAAATCGTGCCCTGTAGGACGAAGTTGGTGTCGTAGATGTGGACTCTATTCCGTGAATAGTCCCCATTACACCATATTCCAATAAGGGTGTCACCATTTGCATCAGTGGTCACGTGACTGATTATCTCCACTGGAGACTCGGTCAATTCTACGTTGAATGATGTCACCAGTCTTCCACTCACGGCAGGTACCACGTCTCCAAGGCAACTATTGATATTGGTAACGCATTTCTCCATGTCGTTGGTGATAAGCTGTAGCTGGGTTAAGGCTGCGGACATGGTAGGAATGTTGAGAGTCTGGACGCTCTCGCTGCTTTGCTCACAGGTGGCGGCCATTTGCAGGACATCCATGTCGTTCCCATGGTTTATGAGCTTTCTCGAGAAGTCTACAAAGTCGTCCAGTTGTTTTTGCTCGGCGGTAGCAGTTGCGATTAAAGCATTTAAAACCTCTAGTTTGACATTCGACTTGGCATCTATATCTGCCAAAAGATCCTCGGCACGTTGTCGGACCATCTGCATAACTAGCCTCATCTGGTTGTTAAGTAGACTCTTTGCCTTATTTCTTCCTTTTTCTATTGACTTTTTCTGGTCTTCAGCGGCGGTCTTGAACTGATCGTAGAGTAGACTTTTCTTCACAGTGTGTCTAACGAGGAGTTCTATTTTTTCCTTGCGTTTTTCGGCAGCAGTTTTGATTCTAAGGCAATCATGACCCATGTGTTCCAAAAACATACAATTTGCGCAGATGTACTTTTTACACACTGGGCAAAAGATTTCTACGGGTTCATTGTTGTTGTGATCACAAAGGACGGTCTGTCGGGCATGCAGCTCTGTTGCGTATTCGTCGCTTCCTAACTGGTCGACAGGAAACAGTTTGTGGTCACGATTTAACTTATGAAGTACATGCTCCGAAGAACAATCACCACACATACTTTCCTCACAGTTCAAACAACGTTTTGTTGCCGTTGGTGGATTGAGGACATTCTTCAGACAACATACCTCGCATTTTTTCGAAGCTTGGGCTTTTTCTACTTGACCAATTGTGTGTAATACGCTGACTACAAGATGATTTGTTTGTAAATCTCTTATTCCGCCCTCAGGGAGGTCACACGGACGTCCACAGATAGGACAAGGGAAGCCAGGCTGGCCTTGGAAATTTCTGTCCAAATGGTCTTGGAGGCAATGTTGGCAAAAGGTATGCGCGCAGCTGAGAACCTTGGGTTCTTTGAAATTTTCATGGCATATGCTGCACGTTAGGTAATCTTTCGTTAGGAGCTTGGACAGAGACATGGTTCCAGGGACCAATATCTTAAATTAGAGCAATGGGGGTATTGTATGAATGACATAGAGTAAACGCACAACTGTAAGTTATTTTTAAATACATGTCGTGTAATGTATGGGATGTAATGTTTAGATGAAATCCCCAACCTACAAAAGACCCTGTAAGTCTCTTTATGGGATGTATTTTACAATATTTTACAACAGTAGGATGAGAGCCAGTGCAGTACGATTTACACACTGACGATTGCAGGTCATACGAAACGGAACACACGAACACAAAAAATCATAAAGTTCAAAGTGTGTACCAAATGTTTTTTTACAACGTACCCTACTCAGACACACACTGTAATGATCACCAACCCTGTGTGTTTTCAGAATTCTAATTACCTCTCTTTTTCTCCAGTTATATTTCTCTTGGTGGCAGGTACACGCCTCCTGTCGCCTTTAAGATGTGCTGTCTCTAGTAACATGTACACCTGGTCAGGTGAGACGTTCAATGTTCCAGGGCAGTTCAAAGTCACCTTGATCAACAATGTGGCGCGATTTCCATGTAGAATAAAAATGTGTGACCTATTTTATCGCTGTGCATTCATGTAGGTAGTACAACCTTCCAGCCTTAAGGGTGATGTATTGACTTACGGTGCATTCATGATATCTTTTGAAACGAGAATAAAATCTAGGGTTAAAGTAAACACTAAAAGATTGCACTACCCATATCCAAGCACAGACGGTGACCCGAAGGTTTTGATAAGTGGCTGTCTCTTTATGTCAGATTGGATTAAAAAAGCACGCGAATGGTTGAATAAAGAGTATGGTAACGAATACAAAATTTCGCTGACATATTTGAATAAATTGTGAACATGGCCCGCTGTTAGAGCGAAGGATAATGTTGGTATTCAGGGCTTTCTGTATATTAAGTGAAGGACCATTCTTCAGTACTCAGTAGTCCTCTACCATGTACTCCCGCATGCAAGTTCATGTTTAAAAATTCTCCGCATGCACTCCAAAAACCGTTGGAGGAGCATTTTGCAAAGATGTATTATTTATTTATTATTAAGTATTTTTAGTATTTTCAGGTTTGATCACTTTCATTCAGCATGAATACGAGGCAGATCCTTATGTATATGTATGAGGGAAATTAAGGAAAATTCATGAATTTCTGCGATGGTTGCACATTTTACAAAATTTCAACCGCGACGTCATCTCAGCGCACGCGCTCCGTTCTGAATATTTTCCTACGCACAGCCAGTTGCCATATGACAACGACCTGGTATTCAGGAAAGAGGCACTTAAACCCGACTCCCAATGTGAAGACTACTCATTTTCCACAGGCAAAGAAGGCACGGATAACATACCCGTCATCTTCAGGGAGCGTCCATACACTGACCATTGCACACCCACCATGTTTTGCTGTGGTTTCTGATCAGCTATGTGCCCATTACCAACAACCTCACAAACTAAAAAAAAAATGCAGTGCTTTCTTAGAAATGTGCTTATCCAATGGAAAACAATTGTTATTCATGGAACGTCTTCCCATGGGGGTTTGGAGTCTAATCACATTGCTAGAGGATGCCTGAATAAACTTACCTGTACAACATGTCAAATAAAACACCCTACATCGTTACATGACCCTGATTACCAACGCCAGAACGCAGCTACTAAGGTCAATGTGTACAATGCTGCTGTCAATACCTCGAACAGTACATCTGTCAGGTGGTCAACCATGATAAGTTACCCGTTTGGATCTCACATGAAAGTAACCCAGAAAGGGTGGAGCTCATTGTAATGTTATGCTCGACAATTAGTCATTTTTTATCAATAAATTGTATGTGGGGGGGGGGGGGTGTGTGTTAAGAACTACTCAGTGTTGTGAATAAAGTGTGGCACATCACAATATACACTGAATACCTTTTACGACCAATGCTATCCGCCAATCTAACAAAGGAAGTTACTAACAATATTTTTCACATATGCCATCGAAATTTTGTATTTATTACCATACTCTTTATTCAACCATTCACGTGCTTTTTGATACTCATCCAGCATATAGAGACAAGCACTTTTCAATTCTTTCGGGTCACAGTCTGTGTATTGTTATAGGTAATGCAATATTTCAATGTTTATCGTAACCCTAGACTCTATTCTAGTCTTAAAAGAAATCATAAATGCACTATAAGTCAATACATCAGCCTTAAACAGTGGAATCACTGACTGTGGTAAAGGCGGGACTCACAGCACAACATAGAGCACATCTTGGTGGCGATGATAGAAGACAGGCATACCTTGAGTATCATTCGGAAGGAAGTCATTTGCTACTTTTCCTCGGCAAGAAACATAGCCGGGTGCATTGCAGAGATAAAGTGGAAAGTCACTGGACATGTCTTGTAGAGGCTGGCGGGGAAAAGTGTTGCGCACCTTTGGTTTCTGTCTGAAAAACCTCACCTTTTCACCTTGGGTATCCGCTCTGTCAGTCACACTGCTGTGGGTCTCTCCGTCAGCTGCACCGTGGGGGTCTGATCTCACTCGACTTCTACATATTTTACAATCCTTATTTTGTCCCCAGGTCGACCTAGAAGTGATGCTGAGTTAGAGCTATCGGAATCTGTTTCAAGTGAGCGGCTGCCTTCTTAGCCGAAGTTAAGTAAAATTCAGCGACTAGTTTTTTTGTGTTTCTTTACATATAGTTTATAGTTTCAGTCAGTGGGATAAAAAAAAGGATAGGCTGTGCCTTCTGAACTCTTGCTATTTGTGTGTGAATTGTTCTTAATTTACCTGATTAATAAAATAGTAAAGTTGTAGTAATAGTTACTATCATTATTTATTAGCTTAGGATTTAAAATAAATAAAAGTTCATCAGATTCACAAGTTGAAAAATTTTACAGCTAACACGCATTTGAATGGCTCTCCAACGATTGTGTTAGGAGAGACTGATGATTGTGTTACTCATCTTCTCCATTTCTACAGGGCAATAGTGATTCTGTTATCCACGTTTCTTGTACTACATGAGCAGTGTCATGGGACTTTTGGTGAGTGTCGGGTGGAGGAGCTGGGGGGGGGGGAGCGGGGGGGGGAGCGGATGGGCAAAAGATTATTGCGTTAATTTGGTTTATGTAATGAATGCATTTTAGTCTACGCCTATTAAGTTAGATGTATGGAAAATTATGTAGATTTACAAATATCTTAAGCCATATTAATTTAAGAGCTGCACAGAAAGATTTCACCTCAGGGACCTTAATATCACCATTTTCTGTAGAATTTATCATAAAAAACGTATCTCTTATATTTGTTTATTTTACTGATCCAAATAAAATGATTAAATGTTTGAATCATTGTTTTCATTTATCAGTCAGAACAATTGAAAAACAAGTAAAAAATTGTTTAAGAAATCCAAACGAAATATCCAGTTCGAATTTTCATGACAAATCAATATTTTACCAGATTAAAACAATCTGTAACCCGCTCCGAACTGCATACTGCTTCCAGACACTAACTCATACACTTTAAATGCCTTGGACATGTGAACCCATCAAAACGCTTATTAGATAAGAAAGACAATTAAACATGCAGGGATACTAGTATGTCGGTTTTGTGAAATAGATACTAGGTCAATTATGGCGGTCAAAGGGCCAGAAAATGATGGGTTTTATCTCATCAAAATACTGATTACACGGCGGGTGTCGGGAACAAAAGATCATTCGTACTGCATCTTGAATACGAGGTTCGCATGCTTGTTAAGTTTATGTTCTTGACGTCAACCATAATGCAAATACACACCACTCGACTATATGAGGATTGCTGAGACCACCTTCAATATGACAAATATTTTACGTGCGCGTAACAAAAGATTATACGTACTGCATCTTGAATACGGGGCTTGCATGCTTGGTAGGTTTCTGTTCTTGACGTCAGCCATGATGCACATACAGTGTAAATATGACAAATATTTATACGTCCGAAAGTTCAGTACGGCTTCCTTGATCACGAACGTTTGACATGCTATCGTTATGTCGGGCAACGACGCGCCTTCGCTTTCGCAATCTGTTACATACTTGGCGGTTTTGGGGGGAGTGGGGGTGGTGGGAGATAACGACACGTTATCATGTTTCTACAAACATAGTCGTGGAGACATTGCGCTTGGTGACATAACCCATAAGACACACAATTAGTAGGTATTCGTAGATTTCAGTGCCCGGGCGGATATCGTTCAGTTATCTCACGGTGATCGTGCGACCAGAAAAGAATTTGTCATGCGATGCGAGTTGTCACAATTATTACGGATATAATTTATCCGTGAGACGTTTGTACGTGTGTCACTAACTACAGCTATGGCAAGATCATATGTAATCTGTTAAAATGGCTGACCCTCTTGAATTTTTAACAAGCTGTATTAGGAAGCCCCAGTTATATCAGAGAGTGTCCATTTGGGTATTTCATTTTCCGCTTTTTATTTCCCGAGATGCTTGAAACGCACGATTTATTTAGCGTGATCCTTGAGGCTTCCACGTGAATGTCACTTTTTATTCTTTGCCCTTCAAGAAACGAAGTCATTATATCCAGTGATTATTATATAACTGTGAAAATAAATACATATTTGAAATTCATCAGCAGGATTTTATTTTAAAAGAATGTACTTGTATTATTGAAACATTTTCATATTGCATTATTTATAGATATTTTTCTGAGTGAACATTCTTCAAGCAACACATATCGATGTTGGACACACAAAGCGTATGGAAATCAACATACCACAAGTTGTTACTACAATCAGCTACATCGTAGCAGCATAGATCTCCTATTTTTTGCTATACGTATTCTACATTTTTTCTACAACAATATCAATTCATGCTGGATTTCCTTGCTCCAGTAGGTCCACTGTCTTGGTGAAGATAATGATTTCATTTGCCCCCCAACATAGAGTGACGATGTTACCGTCATCATCAATGGCAATCTCAGAACACACGTCCTTTTCTTCTGTTCTAGGGTTTGGAATTGTGCCCTGTAGGACAAAGGTGGTATCGTAGATGTGGATTCTATTCCGTGACTTGTCCTCATTACAACAAATACCAATAAGGATGTCACCATTTGTATCAGTGGTCACGTGAGTGATCATCTCTTCAGGAGACTTGGTCAGTTCTACTTTGAATGTTGTCAACAATCTTCCACTTACAGCTGGAACCACGTCTCTAAGGCAATTGATATTGTTATAAAGTTTCTAGAACAATATTAATTGTTGGATATCCTTGCTGCTGGATTTCCTTGCTCTAGTAGGTCGTAAGCCGGTTGAGACTAAATTTCTTTTGTCTAATCTGATCGAAAGACAAATTTCTACTAGTATTTGTTACCTGAGGCTATTACCCATTGCAAAAGGTTAAAAATTAAAAATTAAGAATTTGTGAATTACGGCAGGTTTTTCTGTACGGGTTCACCAGCGGTCTATCGAGGACAAAACGCGTGAAATCTGGGCCAATACAATGTTTACTCACCCTGAGCTTCAGAGATAACTTGCCACTAACCTCTTCACTATAGCCTATCTTCATCGTGTCAAGTAACCTCTGACCACATTCGATAGCCCCCGCCGCCCGCCAATCAAATTTAAAGCCCGCACTCAATGACTCATTGANAGGTTAGTGGCAAGTTATCTCTGAAGCTCAGGGTGTGTTTACTGGGATACTGTCTGCATTTTATTAATCTTTTTAGTGTCCTTTGTTGGCTTAGCAAACACTTATAATTCAAAAATTTTAATCTCGCCTCTCTCTTCCGCAACGACCAGTTTTCCGAGATGGTTTATAGTAACATCTCTCGGATTGAGTAGTCCATTGTCTTTGCTTAAAAGAAACTGCTTAAATTTCCCATCCGGTGACACCAGGTGTAGACGATGGTTGTTGAGGTCTGTGAGAATTATGTCTCCATTATCCAAGCAGCATGTACCACGTGGAATGTTCACCTGTCCGTCCCCATCACCCTTGGTACCATATCTGTATTTAAGTTGGAGAGAGGAAACGTATACACGGATGTGATGATCTCCTGGATCTGAGACTATGACATCATCATTCACTTTACAATGGATGTGTTTGAAATAATTACCCCCTGGGTCTCGTGTCGTCTGCAGGACCTTGCCACCCTTGTGGTGCACAGTGAGAGTATTACGACCGGCCACCACATAGTGACCCTTGCTGTTGACCGCTACTGCCTGAGGTAACTCACTGTGGAATGTTCTCACGTGGTCTCCTTTCTTGGTGTAGACAATGATTTCATTTGAGTACTGGCATCTAGTGACGATGTTACCGTCATCGTCAATGGCAATCCCAGCAAAGGATTCTTTTTTTGCTGCTCTTGGGTCTGGAATTGTGCCCTGTAGGACAAAGGAGGTATCGAAGATGTGGATTCTGTTCCGTGAACTGTCCTCATTACACCAAATACCAGTGAAGATGTCACCATTTGCATCTGTCGTCACATGACTGATAATTTCCCCTAGAGACTTGGCCAGTTCAACTTTGAATGATGTCACCAGTCTTCCACTCGCAGTTGGAACGACATCTCCAAGGCAACGGTCAATATTGGTAACGCACTCCTCCATATCGCTGGTGATAAGCTGTAGCCGGGTTAAGGCTCCGGGCAGGGTCGGGATGTCGAGAGTCTGGACGCTCTCGCTGCTCTGCTCACATGCTGAGGCCATCTGCAGTACATCCATGTCGTTCCCATGGTTTATGAGCTTTCTGGAGAAGTCTACAACGTCGTCCAGTTGATTTTGCTCAGCGGTAGCAGTTGCAATTAAAGTATTTAAAACCTCTAGTTTGGCATTCGACTTGACATCTATTTCTTCCAACAGAACCTCGGCACGTTGACGGGCCATCTTAATAACTAGCTCCAACTGGTTGTTAACTTCACTCTTTGCCTTCTTTCTTTCTTCTTCTACCGACTTTTTCTGGTCTTCAGCGGTGGTCTTGAACTGATCGTAAAGTAGACTTTTCTTCTCAATGGGCCTAACGAGGAGTTCTAGTTTTTCCTTGCGTTTGTCAGCAGCAGCGTTGATTCCAAGGCAATCATGACCCTTGTGTTCCAAAAAACTACACTTGGCGCAGATGTACTTTTTACACACTGGACAGAAGATTTCTACTGGTTCCTTGTTGTTGTGGTCACAAGGGACGCTCTGTCGGGCACGCAGCTCTGTCAAGTGTTCATCACTTCCTAACTGGTCGACAGGAAACAGTTTGTGGTCACGATTTAACTTATGAAGTACATGCTCCGAAGAACAATCACCACACATACTTTCCTCACACTTCAAACAATGTTTAATCGCCATTGGTGGATTGAGGACATTTTTCAGACAACATACCTCGCATATCTTGGTATCTTTGGCTTTTTCTACTTGTCCAACTGTATGTGATATGCTGACCAGAAGGTGGTTTGTTTGTAATTCACTAACACCGCCGCTAGGGAGGTCACACTGACGTCTACAAATAGGACAAGGGAAGTTAGGCTGACCTTGGAAATTTCTGTCCAAATGGTCTTGGAGGCAATGCTGGCAAAACGTATGTGAACAGCCGAGGGCTTTTGGTTCTTTGAACTTTTCATGACATATGCTGCACGTTAGGAAATCTTCCGTTAAAATCTTGGACAGAGACATGGTTCCTGGGACCAATATCTTAAAATAGAGGAATGGAGGGTATCGCATTAATGATAGATTTAATATTGGAGGTAAACGCACACCATTACTTTATATTTAAATATATATGGTGTAATATATGGTGCTTAATGTTTAGATGAAATTCCCAACCTACTTTTATGGGATGTATATAACAATACTTTACAACAGTAGGATGAGAGCCAGTACAGTACGTTTAACACACTACTGATTGCAGAGCATTGCACGAACACATAAAATCATAAAATTAAAGTGGGTAACAACGAGTTTGTTTTTACCACTTTACGCAGACTGTAATATGCACCAACCCAATATGTTTTCAGAATTCTAATTACCTCTCTTTTCTCCAGTTATATTTCTCTTGTTTACAGGTACACGCCTCCAGTCGCCCTTAGATGTGCTGTCTCTCATGACATGTACACCTGGTCAGGTGAGGTGTTCAATGTTCAAGGAGACTTCAAAGTCATCTTGATCAATAATGTGGCGATTTTTTTATGTTCAATAAAAACATTGTGGCATATTTTATCGCTTTGTATTGATATCAATTGTGCAATCTTCCACTGTGTAAGGGCGATGTATTGATTTATAGTACATTAATGATTTCTTTTGTAACTAGGGTTTTACATTAAACCTAAGGTTACATTAAACACTGAAAGATTTTACTATCTACAATACAGATGTTGAACCCAAGGGATTAATAATTAATTGTCTCTGTATGCTAGATGAGTATCAGAAGTCACTAAATTGTTGCATTAAGAGCAGGTAACGAATGCGAGATCTGTATTATGTTGTGCAGTGCGTCCCGCCTTTACCACAGCAAGTGGTCCACTGTTTAAGGGCAATGTATTGATTTATTGTACATTAATGATTTCTTTTGAAACTAAAATTGAACCTAAGGTTACATTAAACACTGAAAGACTGCATTAGGTATATCAATACATAGATGGTGAACCGAAATAATTGAAAAGTGACTGCCAGATGGGTATCAAGAAGCACGGGAATTGTTGCATAGAGAGCATGGTAACGAATACAAATTTTTGACGTTGATCTTAAAAAGTTTTCAGTAAAGTGCCATTCTGTAATGTCTTATTTACTCCACTTATTAGTCCTAAAGTATGCCCCCCGCATACAAGCTATAGTTAAAAACAACTCCCCATGTACATCCTTTGCAACAATAGGCCTACCCCTCCAACGGCATAATGAAATATATATAACGATTGTGTTAGAAGAGACTGATGATTGTGTTGCTCATCTTCTCCATTTGTACGGGGTAATAGTGATTCTGTTATCCACGTCTCCTGTACTACAAGAGCAGTGTCATGGGACTTTTGGTGAGTGGGTGGGAGGAGGGGGGTGTGGACCAATTGTCATGGACTGTCAAGTTCCAGATCTTGTTGACCCTAGTTCACTCTACGTTGCCTGTTTTGTAACGATATAAGAGGTTTCAGTCTTGCTACCCTGCTGTACACTCTATGAGCATGTAACCGACGCCTAGCAATTTTCACAGACACATTCTTATGTGTGAAATTGTTCCACTGTGTTGTCAACTGACAAGCAGTGTCGAACTTTGACAACCTGGACATCAAAATCAGTCGTCGGTCTTCACGGCCAGTAGTTTTTCTTGGACGACCCATCAGAGACAATTTGTCTATTGATCCAGTGTTTCTATACCAAGACCAGACCCTCTGCACGGTGCTGACTAAACAATTCAATTGTATCGATATACTGACATTGCTTATATTCCGCCTCTTCAGGTTAATAATTTGCACCTATAACCGTTAGATAATTACCTGTATCTTGCCATATTGGAGGAAGACAGGAATAACATTTTCTGTACATGTACAAGACCAACAATACAATTCCATGGTATAGCGGTTTTATACTCATTAGTCACATTATAAGTAGACCAGGCATTATAAGTACCCAAGATCTGCCTACTTTTATTACTCTGAGTTAGGGGGTGACACTTCTTTTGTCCAGTGTGTGTATATGTGCCTACATCGTCTGAATTACCTTTGTAACTGTACTTGCAACCTGAAATTAAATTGGATATAAAAGTGTAAAGTATACAAAAAGGGCACTGAGGTGCATGAGCACTTTTAACAGTTCTATCTAAAAGCTATAACGACTTTTTTGTCGCAATGTAGTTAGCGCGTTCGATATATTGTTGCTTGCACATGTAAAAAATGACGCCAATGAAATATCAGCCGCGTGCTCAAAGTCGACTCGACGCAGAATGTAGTTATTGTTTTGAAAATAAATTTTCTGTGAATGTTGGCCTGAAAAGATGTTAACAGTGTAACATGAAGTTTTAAAGAACATTTTAAACCACGGCAGCATTAGTATATTCATATCAAGCAGACTCTGTGCATATACGCGAGTCATGCCCTGCAATGTGAGGGTCACGCTGTCGAGATCGCCCGGTAAACTGTTCAGGTAAAATTTTAGTAATGCTCGGCAAATCCATAATGAAATAAGTCAATCAAGTTGTCTAGCGAGATATATGATGCAAGCATGTTCCACAAGGTTATTATTAACTGAAGCGATCTTATTAGCTGATTCAACGAGCCACGCGTCGTTTACCGGATTACATAACAACCAAAGATAAAGTGGTGTTGGCGTCCCGCTGCGACTTTAACAGCTTATTTTGACAAGGCTCGCGCTACGTGCTGGCTTGAGAAAAACATCATTGTTAAACCTTGATGCCGATGCGTTAATTACTTATGGTTGCATTGTCTTCTTCCCACGGCGACCATTCATAAAAAGGGGGCGTAGTTAGGTATTAGACGATTTTTTTAATTACCCAACGCGTTAGTGGTGCGCTGTCCTCTGACTAAATCCGTTACCTGTATGTCCGATACCACTATAAGGACGCCGCAATGGCTTCATCAACAATCAGCCTTTAAGCAGAAAGTTGCATGTGTTGTGGCACTGACTTTTGATTGCAAGATATTCTTAGCTCAAACTTCAAACTCCGCGTCAGTCACTTTGCTTCTTGTCTCGTCTGCACGAGATAACGTCAGCGCAAGACGGGAAAGGCAGCTCCAGGCGGTCAAACCTGTGTCGTACGAGACTTGTGACTTCCAAATATGGAGCTCCAGGCAGATAACGCTGTGACGTACGAGTCTTGTGACTTCCAAATATGGAAGCGCCCCAGGCAAAATTTTGCCGAACACGCCTGCTATTTGACGGAAGTGGCTAAAGTTAGTTTTGCTGATATGGGTTATATAAGAAATCAGGATCGAGCTGGCAAAACCGAAATCTAGAACCTAGGGTAAGGCATCTCCACCACCTTTTTGCCGCTCTTTTTGTCACAGCTTTGGATACAAAGACAAACGACAGACAACGGTAACTAAGCAACCTTTTTATTTCACTCATTACGCATGCGTACGATGAAACTCTAGAGTTAGCGACTGGTCTGATCTGGTGATTTGAAGGAACAAAGAGGGTGTTTTAAGTGCCTACCAAGATATGTGTGAACGCTGCAAAACCATGGATATTGATAACCCGCATTCAAATATATCTCAATGCAATTTTTTGTTATATACCATCGCTATTGGACTATATTATGAGCAAAATAACACATTTTTACCATTATGGAGGCCATTGGTGGCCGTTTTATCCCTCAAATCGAAGATGGCCGCCAAAAAACATTTTGAAATTGGGCATAATTCGCTATTTTGAAACTATATGTATTACATCTTTGTAAATGAGTAATACGTTGTTTTATATTATTTTCTGGTGCAGAATACATTATCTGTTACATGAAATGTGAGTACAAACTATTTTAGCCTCCAAAATCAATATGCATGTAGGCTTAAGTTGTCAAATAGACTTACATGTGCCATGAAGTCTAATTAGTACAAAATGTTTTATTAAATCCTAAAGAGCTTGAAACAAGCGTCAGAGACCAAAATGGCTTAATTAAAGGTAAAGAACACAAACCTGGTGCTTTGAAGACAACTGGTAGCCATTTCGATCCTCAAATCCAAGACGGCCGCCAGTCACAATTTTGAAATACAGGTAATGCATAACTCATCAATTTGAAGCTATTGCTCTTACACTAGCATGTTATACATCGTTTCTTATCATTTGGGTTGTAGAAGTCGTGTCTTATCTCTTCTGAGATACAATACAAAAAGAAAATATTTCAAGGCTCCAACACCAATACAGGCTTACGTCTTCGCCTTGTATACGTCTTGAAGTCAAATTTGTGCAAAAAATATGTTATATAACAATTATAAAATGGTTTTGCCAGACATAGATAAAGTGCAAGAGACCAGCATGGCTGATTCCACTTTATGGTGACTACTGTTAGCTATTCTGTCGTTCATATCCAAGAGCCTGTCACTATTTTAAAATTATTATGGCATAATTTACCTTTTTGAGCTGTTGGACTTTCATATATGATCGTAATACATCAATTGTTACTATTTTGGAAGTACGTAATTCATTTCCGGTGCTATTCTGGTGACAGAGGATACTAACAAAGGTATAAGGTGTTTTAAGATGATTCCAAGATGAATATTCCTGTAGTTGTCATATACTGTAGATGTTTTGTGCTTGTTCGTCCATTGGAAACAATGAGAACTATGTAGTTGCCTTATGGATTTCTATTGGTAGTGAGATGACTTGTCTGGCCAAATCATGCTAGGAATGATCACTGGCACTGTCAACTAGGAAAAGAGGCTGCTTCCTCGACTTTTT